TTCTTCAATGGACTGAGCTGCTCTGCCAAGCCTGTAGACGTGAGATTGGGGGGGTTTAATGAGGTGGATCCTCACTTGAGAGCAAGTGCTCTACCAGGCCTTTTACTGGCCTGGTAGAGCATAATTATTCTTCTTCAATAGGGGTACTCTCATGGGCAGACCTAGGGGGTCTTGGGGGACAAGTGCCCCCAACTTTTGAATTTTTTTTTTTATATAAAATCGTGTTTGGTAACAATTAATGGAATCTATAACTGTTTAACTTTTATCAAAATTTACTAAAAAAAATTGATTTTAATTTCCACCAAATAGGGGCAAAATCACAATAAATTTAACTTTCGATAATATACTAATTGGGACGATCGTACCCTAATCGAATTTACAAATTGCTTATGTCATCTCAAAATGTATTTCGAGAACTACATTATGGGCATATCGAATAATACAAACATATATCGAAAATAGTTAAAAATACGTTAAACGTGAATCTTAAAAAAAGACGTCAAACTCGCATTTTTTTTTATATTCAATTATTTCATTTAACGTTTATTATTTTTGCGATACTTCCAAGGTCAAACAAATACTTACCTTACTGTTGATTTTTATATTCAACGAATCATTTTTTAGCTGGTAGAGTGGGTCACTAACAACATAAGAATGTGATGGGACATAATTCTTCAATGGACTGAGCTGCTCTGCCAAGCCTGTAAACCTGAGATTGGGGGGGTTTAATGAAGTGGATCCTCACTTGAGAGCAAGTGCTCTACCAGGCCTTTTACTGGCCTGGTAGAGCATAATTATTTTTCTTCAATAGGGGTACTCTCACGGGCAGACCTAGGGGGTTCTGGGGGACAAGTGCCCCCAACTTTTGAATTTTTTTTTTTATATAAAATCGTGTTTCGTAACAATTAATGGAATCTATAACTGTTTAACTTTTATCAAAATTTAATAAAAAAATTGATTTTAATTTCCACCAAATATGGGCAAAATCACAATNCACACATATGTATAATGAAACAAATGGGCTGAATGAGTAATGGGCCAAGGTCCAAGCCCAATAGCAAATATTTTATGTGTATTACAGAATCTACAAATTGCTTATGTCATCTCAAAATTTATTTCGAGAACTACATTATGGGCATATGAAATAATACAAACATATATCGAAAATAGTTAAAAATACGTTAAACGTGAGTCTTAAAAAAAGACATCAAACTCGCATTTTTTTTTATATTCAATTATTTCATTTGACGTTTATTATTTTTGCGATACAAATTTCTCAATATAATTTTCATCATTTTATTAGGAAATTTTATATGGAATTTGACATCAAAATTTTTCGAAATTTTACATCCGAAAAAATTATATCCCATGTAAATTTTCGAATATAAAATTACATGGTGTATGATTTTTTTGAACATAAATTTTCGATTGTAAAATTTCTCCCAATTTCTTTGGAAGTTCGATTGTGCCCTCTAATTTTTAAGTTCTGTATCCACCCCTAGGTACTCTATTTAGTATATAATCATCATCACTATCATTGTATGTCTCGGAATGAGGTCCAAGAGCCTTGAGAATCATTGCCAACAACATACTTAATCCCTGCACTAAAAGCAATTATCACCAGGGCAAAGACCAGCAACTGAGGAAAAAACTAAACGCATGCCATGAACAATAAGGAGAATTGATGTAATGGATCACCTAATCTAGATAATACTATAAGATTCTAACATGATCAAATCAGAATTCATCACTGCAAGACTTCAACCATGATCATCTCACTTCACACAACCTTATAAATGACAATGATGATTGTAACAGCTAAAAATGTATACCTCCATTCTCAGTTCCCAATTTATATCAACATTTCAGAAGAATTCTCTAGTTCAAAATGTGATCACCCTGCCTATCGACCAACCCAATAGTAGAGACCTCCAAAATGATCAGAGTTGAAATCCTATCACTGAAAATTTATCTCCGATGAAAATTAGTGACCTTGATAAAATTAGAGCCTGGAAAAAAAATTAGAACTGAAAATAAAACGGTATATGGAAGATGTGGAAACAGTGGAAGTACCTAACCAGTTAGTCACACGTGACGGAAAGGCAGAGGATGTGGCTATTGAATGATTGTGCATCTGTGCGCGCGCGTGTATGTGAGAGAGAGAGAGAGACCTGTAGACCCACAACTGTCAAGCCAATCCATCTGCAAATGTCAAAGTTATCCTTAATAAAGCCCTTTAACTCATCAAGATTTCCAGTTGGGTCATCCGGGAAGTCCTAATATACACGCAGTAAATTATAAGAAAGGAAGAGATTATTAGAACAATAAGACATTTCATGCACAATAAATGGTGCAAAGTAGTTCAGATACCTCTTCCCAGTTTCTGTTTAAGAACACATCTGCCGTAACTGCAGCTTGTAGCACTAGAGTCTAGAAGCATAAAGATGAAAACCATGTACTACCCCAGCTAAGGTCAACAGTAAAGGAAGCCTACGAATATTTTATTGTGTGTGAGCCCCCTTCATGTGAGGGGAGTGTAAAGTCGTGTGTACACCATTTATGTACACGTAGCATCTCCCTTTTCTGAATGACATATTTCCGTCTTGATTCAACTTCATATGCTGGAATTAATATATCTAAAACATATACCAATTTTAGACACTACAAGCTATGCTTATAAATATGCAAAACACTTCATGTTCACATCATTCCAGAACAATTGACGATAATGAAAGCACAATTTTGTTTTTAAACTAATTGATCAAAATACAGTCAATACTAATAACTTCATGTCCTGAAAACTAACACAATTTGTAGTCATGCAGGACATGATAATGAAAGCACAATTTTGTGTTGAATTCTGAAAAATGTTAAATAGTTTTAAGCTGTAAATCACCATCAGGCCACCCATATTACTGCAAATGATAAACAATTTAAGATATTCAATAATATTGGTGTAATTGACAATAAAAAGTGGAAGTAATGGTGAAAATGCCAAAAAATAAAAAGTATGAATGTTTTCCACAATAGCAATGAAAGGTAGAGACGTTAGAATAAAAACAGCATTCTTACAAATCATATAAGGTAGAAAAAGATGTTATCTATAAGTTCATCATCACAATCCGCATATTAATAGAAATTCGAAAATTAAAGATCAAACAAATTATAAGGATACTATGTATAAACAACAACCCTTAGCAGTCTCGGCTGCAATGTGACTCGAGCAAGTGATCTCACACAAACTAGCTCCAAGTCCAATTATAGTGTACATGAACCTGCAGCTTGGTTTCTGAGTTCGAATGATATAATAATAATTAAATTACCAGAAAGAAAAGCAAAAGCAACAACTTTTTTCCTTTTATGATTATTGTCCCACCAGATTCATATTAACATAAGGCAATTAGCTTTCATTTGAACTTTTCCATTTATAATAATTTGTCATTCATCAATCATCTCCGATTGTTTGCGTGAAAGCTTTGTAACAGTAATATTTAGATGTAGTTATAATGTTGAAACTGAAGAGAAAGAAGTTGCTGTGGTGTAGTGGTTATCACGTTAGTCTTACACACTAAAGGTCCCCAGTTCGATCCTGGGCAGCAACACTTCTTGCTTTTTTTTTTCATTTTTCGCTATTTTTCTCTTTTCTGCTAGATACAGTCACTGGACTTTCAGAATAATTTCAATTAGGTCATCAAATTTTAATTTATCTAGAGTAGGTCATTATACTTCAATTTAATTTCCAAATGAACAGCAGAACCTTAATTTAAATTCAAAATTTTCACCATTCCATTTCATGCAATTGCCACCTAAGCACACTAATCTATTAAGCAACCAAAATCAAGTTGGATTTTGCTACTTGACCGAGGCTCGCCATGAAAGCCCTCCTATGATGGGTGGGGGAGAGCATGTACAGGGCCATGTACGTGTAGCAAAACTCAATCAAGTTAAAGTTCAAGTATTTTTTGTGCCAACCCTTTTATTATGTATCCATGTGGATTAGGTTATATTTCTAGGCAATCTTCCTCTAATATAGTGTCAAAGTGGTTAGTCACGGTTTACCTCCCGGTCCTTCATTTTCATAGTTCATACATTGAATTGATTACAAGTCCAAATATTCATATGCCTCCATGAAAGATGATTTTATAAATCATTCTCATTGTCTTAATTCAAGGAAATCCCCACCAAACTAGAGATGGCAACGGGGCGGGGCACCCCAGCCCCACCCGGCCCCACCACTCCCCCACCCCACCCCATCCTGCCCCGCTCCCCGCCCAACCTTAGACGGGGCGCGGGCAGCCTGCCCCGTTTATTTATTTTATTTTTTTCAAAAACTTCTAATTAACTATTTTTAATTTTTAATTTGTAGTTAATTATTTTTTTTTCATTATTCACGGGGCTCTTCGGGTCGGGGCACCCCCGCCCCGCCCCGCCCCGCCAACTCGTCGGGGGCGGGCAGGTTTTTTTTGCCATCACTACACCAAACAAGAATACCTTAAAAAATAAGAAACAATGATATTTTATGGTTCATGAATGCAAGCTGACATTATTATTTAAACTTTAAATTTTAGATTGCAATTTGTAGATAGGAATCAACAAGAGAGCAAGGCAGTTACGGTTCAACTAAGAATGTATAGAGGTGGGTGACAATAAGGGCTTTGGATTGGTTAGGTTTGACTGTTTCTTTTTCCTTTTTCTTTTTCGTACTCTTTCCTTTATACTTTTTTATTATTTTTTTTTTTTATTAAAGTTAAGTCTGTACCTATTTTACCTTCAAACCGAAATCTAAAAATAGAGCTATGAGATATCTGCATAAAATTGATAAAATATAAATTGAAGATCAATTTGTAACAAGGTCACGACTTGAGACCAATAGAGCAATTTTTCCAACTAGAAATTTCTAAAAATATGAAATGGTAAAGAATTCACATTGGAGCACATTTGTATCAATTTCCCAGTAAATACCCATTTTAGTGATGACTACTATACTGATAAGGCCTTTCATGTGCCTGACTCCCTCTAAATTCAGCCAAGGTTTCAGTAAACCGTTACTGATTTCTACCTCCTTCAGCAGTAGAGCTTCTTTCCAGTGTCGTTGCATCAAACATCAAGGCGGCCCAAAAGGCACTGAGGTACTTTTGCTTTTGCTCTTTTTAATCTGAATAATTTTAAACTTGATTGTATAGAATTTATACACATATTCATGATGTTTTTATCCCTACGTGTGTTTATTTTGTGGGCTTTGTTCAATTTTGTGATATAAGTTGCACAAACTGTTATTTTTTAGTGTGCTAAACTCATCTTTGTGCCATATTGTGCAAATGGTTGATTCTTTGTTATAAACGGGTGTTTGGGAGAACATAAGAGATAATCCGTATCATTTGCTTACATCAAAATGTTTGGATTCTTTTTATATTTATAGTTCAACAAAAATGCCTATTAGCAAGATTATAGTTCTCATTTTTAGTTGTAACCCGGTAGTTGATGGAAAAATTGAAGAACATTTGCATGTTGTAGAATACAGAAATGGATTTTATGACAAACTGTGGAGCATTTTTTCATCTTTTTGTCAGTTATGATTGCTTGTCTATCAGTCGCAGTGATGCCTTTGTTAGGGCTGAAATCTTAGTTGAAATACTACATTTTGATCGCTTATGGTTTATAAAGCTATATTGAACACAATCGAAGACATCATGGTTGGACCAGAATGTTATGAGTTATGACCAAATAATGTCATACAAGGAGGGATGAAATTTGATTGGTAGGATGAATACACGACATTTGGTGCCAAATAAAGAATGAAGCTATATGAGGTTATGAATGTTGCTGCCCATGACTTTCGAAGATACAATTGTAATGTGATCTTAGAGTCTTTACTGAGGTACTTTTTATTTTGTTTATTGAGCATAATATATTAACAATCTATCTGACAACCTCAATCAATTTCTTGATTCTCTTCGAGTCACCACCATTTATCTTTTCAGAGCTACCTATTTATGTGATTTGACTTCTTGTGGAATGGACGCACATTGTTTTTTATCATCGGATGTCTCCCAATCCCCATTGTGCTTATGGATACACATTCTTTTGTAAGGAAATGCTTGTGATATATATGCATTACACACTATTGAAGTTGCACCTTCTCTGTTGCTATATGAATGTAGAATGCTCTATGGCCAACATATATTCCATACCAGTGGTAGAATTCACTTTTCTTTCAAAGCTCATGGACAACTTGTGATTGGAATATTAGTATAGATACTATTTAATTTGGTTTCCAATTATGATTCTTATTTTAGGAAATATAATTAGGGTTTGATTTCATAAGTTTTTTAGTACTTTTCTACTTCAATTAGGATTAGTTTAAACCCTATATAAAGGGGGCTTATGCATTGTAATAAACACAACTTGATATATTTTATTTTTTTTTATAATCGTTGATGTTCGGGCCAACTTGTGCGCACCTCGACTAAACCCACAGGGTCCTGAAGTTTACGGCCGGGTACTCACCTCAGTGGCCCTGAGGGGACTCGAACACAACTTGATATATATAAAAATTGATACTTTCTTCTCCAATATATCTTCCGTTTGTCTAATTCCTCTCCCCTTTCTATCTTCCTCCTTCTATCTCCCCCTCTTCTACTCTTTTCCCCCACCTTCCTCTTCTTCACTCCCCTTTTCCCTTTTCCTATAATTCTACTATTGCATCATATATCAACCTGTCTGGAAACTATTGGTGTCTCATTTTTCCTTTAAAAAAAAAGTAGTTCCATCCATCCATTTTTTTGCTTGTGCTAAGTTCCATGAGTCTTGATCTCTATGACATTCACAACTGATTGAGCTGTCAAAGGGTGGGTTGGGAGTGGAGATCAACATAAATGATGAATAAGCAAACATGTGATACCAGTATGGTAGTCTGGCAACTACCCAATAATGAACTCGGCTATGGACAAGCTTCACCAAAGAAGACTGAGACTGACCGAGCCTCTGGTAGATACATGCCATCACAAACCTGATCCAACTGTCAATAGTGTATCTGGTTGAGCTTGGGACTATCTTCCTATTGTCGTCGAAACATAAAATGCTGGAATTCCAATGCAAAAGACAAGATATTGGAGGATTCACTTGAAAATCAAAGAACAAGTTATATCTTCATCACCAAATTGAACCCACAAATTAAAATGTAGTTGTCAATTCACGGAGGAAATTGTGTATGAAAACTTCAATTTAAGAAACTCCATCCAGTGTCCACTTAACATTTTTCTGTCTTCTGATGAGCTCATTATCATTTTTGGGAAACAAATTTACATAAATTTAAGCAATGCTATTCACTTAACATATTGTGTCTTCTGTTAGAGCTCATTATTCCGTAGGGAAGAAATGTCCAAGATTCACAATGTAAGATTAAAAAACTGCTTGGGATTCCAGTAATCTAAAATGAGGGAGGTTATCTGGATTTAACAAAGGTCCCTGAACACTATATAAACCTACATGATACAATTCCCAATCCCCTTTCCTGCCCCCTCCTCCAATCTACATGTGCTGCTTGTAGATGTTTTTGCGATACAAGCAGATTCATGTACACAAATTCACATGCAAACAAGCTGTTATATGCAAATATGTCGCGTTAGTTTGGATGGTAGAACAATTAACAGATGCCTGAATTCATGCAATTATCTTATGAATCATATACCAAGGATTTTTGTTTATACATTCATGTAAATTTAATAGTTTATCATGTAATTAGTTTTTTATTTCTCCTAGGGGTTCTCTGTCCTAGAATCAGACACCCCATGTGATGTTGGGAGTATATGGAGCTCTATGGGTTTTTATGTGTTCAGTATCCACGTTCCTTTGAGCTTTGGCAGTTTATCTGTGGCTGCCAAGGTATTGCATCAAACTGTTCTTGATCCACAGATTCAGGTAAGTGAAATTCTGTCCCATATGAAATGCTGGTGAATGGTGAAGTTAGCTGATGAACTGTTGATAATGAAAAGTAGAAGAGTCAATATTAAAATGTATTGTTCTTATTCTGTTTTTCCATCTTTCTGATTTCACTTCTTTCAATGTGAAATGCACAATATTGCTAATAAGTTCTTTTCCTTTATCTAAGAGGTTTTTGACAATTAACAACTGCATTTGAAGACAGAAAAGGTCGATTTCATTCACCTAAGTTTGTCTCCCAAATTATTTTAACTAAATAAATGAATTCATTGATCATTCTTTTCTAGGGAATGGAGTTGTAATACTAATTTGAACTCATTCAATCAAATTCCTGTCAGTTAGCCTCATGGCTCAATCTTTAGCTGTTCCCCCTTTATAAAAATAGCTAATAATTTATCAGTTCTACAATGAATTGATGTCGAAACTAATTTTTTGCTTCTCATCACAGGCATTGTTGATACTTGCAATTCAAACTTTGGAGCTCAGTATAGTTTTGCTTCTATTTAAGTTTCCTGGAAAGCCTAAGCATAGACTTTTAGACTTCTTTCAAGTTAACAAGGTGTCGAATGGAAGGAACTGGTTGCTGGGATCACTGCTTGGATTTGGATTTCTTGTTTCATTGGTTTTCGTTACTTCAATTCTTGCTGACAGATTGATAGGGCCCAAGGTAAGCTCGTTAACTCTTTCTTTGTTGTTCCAGAAGATTATGTATTGTTTGCAGTCACTACCGTGATAGAATTTAACCAAAGAACGTGTTAAATGAAGTCTTTTTCTTTTCTTAGTAACATCACGATCAAATTGAGTTCCAGTTTCCAATTCTTAAATTTTTTCCTTTCTAGTTGGACCAGATAAAGTCATTAGATACTTAAAGTAACGGTAAAATTCCTTTCGAAGATCAGCCAGTAGCAGGATACCGTGCTAGCAGTTTTAACTTTAGGTTTAATCAGGGGTGGAGCTAGACGCCCTTGCCCAAAATTGTCAAAAGGATTTTATTTTCTTGTTTATTTGGTAAGAGACAAAACTTTTAGTACAGAACTATCAAAAATATAATATTTGAAAATGTCCATATAAAGTAGCAGGCTGGCAGCAATGAGAAGATAGGAACAGTACTCTTTCGTGGACTAAAGGTCACTGCCAACAGTAACATTTTTATGAATTGGAGACATTGTAAAGTTTTATTATTGATTTGGATCATATGTATAAATGTGGTAGCTTACTGAAGGAAATTGATTTGTTCTAATAGTAACATTTTATTTAAATATGGTTCAAATTCTATTTGTCACGTACAGGATGTCAACAATCCCTTTCTCAAGGAAATTCTGTCGACTGGCTCAAGCTCTACAATGGCCTGCATTCTCGTCTATTGCAATGTCACTCCCTTACTGGAAGAAGTTGTCTACAGAGGTTTTTTGTTGACGTCGCTTGCCTCCACAATGAAATGGCACCAAGCAGTTGCAATCAGCTCTCTCATCTTCAGTGCAGCGCATTTCTCTGGTGAGAATTTCGTACAACTTTTCATTGTTGGTTATGTGCTCGGATGCACTTACTGTTGGACGGGGAACCTAAGTTCATCTATCCTTACTCATTCACTGTACAATGCACTGACCCTGTTTTTAACGTTTTTATCATAAATTTTATTCATTTATCTTTAGTAAGTTTGTTCTTCAGACGTTAAAGGGTCAATGAGATTCTTCGAGGACATACATATATTTTACTCTACACCACTTGAGTCACTATAAATAAAAATTAAGTGGACTCTACTTGAGTGATCTTGACTAAGATTGAGTTGGTTATTTTGGTAGAATACCAACTTGATTATCTTTGAATGCGTGCTTAAAAATAAAGTTTGATCATTTATAAATGATTTATAAATTTGCCAAATGGAGCTTCGGTATTTGTTAAAAAACACTAAAGGGAAAGTCGAGCCCCCTGTAACAAAAGGCATTTATTGTTGCACGCGTTGCTCGTATAGCTTTCTTAATTTTTTTCAAACGAATGAGACCATCACACGTCAAATTGTAACACGTTGTCTGATAAAGTACTTGATATTTTTTTGTAATTCGTGACTAGTTGAAAACCGTACCAAATTAATTATCTTATCTTCTATCCACAAATAATTCAATATATTATCTATTGGCTTCTTAAATAGCATTAACATATAGAAGCCAATCGTTGGGTCTTATAATATTTAGGGGACACGAAACTTTGGAAAGAGGAGTGGGACAACTTGGCTCACTTGGGATGGGAAAAAAAATTAATATAATAAAATAAAATTTTAATATATGTGTTATTTAATCAAGTTCATTTAAGTACTAAACATACTCTACATCATCAAGATTGACTTTTCGATATTCCTATATATTTTGGGCAATTGTTTTTTATTGAAATGTAACAATATGCCTTAATGGGGTAGAATCTTATGCAAGGGATGAGTAATGCATATAGACTCCGACTAATCGATCCCCGTAAAGGCTTAAATAGAGAAATATTTTAGTACAACAATTCTATATGCATATGTAGAAAGATTGTCTTTCAAATCACGGCACTTTGAATATTGAGTGGATTTGTTCACCCACTTTATTTCTCTCTCTTACTCACTTGGCGTTCGAGATATCCTGACTTGAGTGATATTTGAATTTTAAGTGTTACGATTTGAGTGGATAGTTATACCACGTATGCATATAGAATTGTTCCATTAAAGTTCCTCTCCCTTAGACAATTACATTGTCGTATGATCATGATATTATGCAGCAGTTAAGACTGGTGAAGAGTTTCAATTGGGGATAATGGAAAACAATTCCCTTCGAATTGCACAATAATCGAAATTAGCTTAGCATAACGAAGCTATTTATCATGTATTGCAGTGCTTCTTCGAAATGTTAACTGTGGTACTTGCAGCTTTATTATCCCAATTGTGAATCAACGGCTCACAAAATTGGAATTGTTTGATGCAGTAGATCAGACTTTGAGTCGATGATTGAATTGTAGTCGTTTATTTATTTCATCATTTATGTCATCAACTTTTCATTATGATTTGATTGATTGAAAGTCTTCGCATTTGATTTTAAAAAGAAAAAAACAAAAGATACACCATTACAAAGAATCCAATCTTAGCCTAAAAATAAAATTTCCTAGTGCCTTAAAATAGTATAATTTTGTATTGTGGACCGTCCAATTTCAAGGAGTTCACACCATGACAACAATTCAATATTGGCACGTTACTAATATTCTAATCTGAAGAGCCAGTAATTCTAAGCCGGGCCACCGATCTTGACCCTTTAGTTGGAAGATTATAAGAAGGCCAATCAAGATTATAACTCGCTTTGGAAACCTCTGCTCCATCAACATTTTGCCACCACATCCTTTGTCAATAATACTTTTCACAAAAGATGCCATTCGTCGCGGAACTTAAAAGAAATAACTATATATGATTATTCTACTTGTACATCAAATATTACATCAAGGATTACATAATGTACAATGTGTATTATGTAATTGGTTGGTGAAAATTAAACAATTTTCATTAACCAATTATATAATATCACTTGTATATTATGTAACCCTTGATGTAATCCCTGATATACTATGTCATGCTCTAGAAATATGATGTGACTTAATTTATCATTATATGGACCACTTTTTCTTAATATAGCATGTAACATCATTCAGGGGGGAAAAAAAACTTCGAAATGCTTATAAATGAAAGTGAGAGCGATGTCGTTAAACATAGTCAATGTTGTTGAAAAATATTTATATGTTTTGTCTAACAACAACAAGTGTGAACTTTCCATTCGAAATACTTGATATGAATATCGTGCTCGGCATCATTGGTAAGAAAGAATCAACCATCTATTGAGAGTAAAATGCTTCTTTTCTACTCATCGTCGGATTCTAGTGCCTATTAACGCTCTGCTTCCACAAATGGAGTCGATATCGAATGATGAAAATAACTCAAAAACACCAAGGATGTAAATCTCTATCATCTTTATGCAAACTCAATTTTTATATAGTAATGTGCTACTATTAACATGTCATTTTTACAAGTACAAAATGGACCAAAGAGGAAAAGTGAAACAAAAAGATTTCTCAGAACAAGAGAAGACACAAGATTACACAACAGCAAAGGAAAAAACAAACTCTACTGAGTGATCTATCAGTCTGCATTATATGCCTTCTTAATCGAGGACTGCTGCTACTCGCTAGACGATACGAGTTTGGATATGTATACAAAGTCGTCTCCGCGTTCCCAAAAATCCTTGCATAAACCATTTCACCAAACATCCCAATCATTGGATCCATCAAATTTGTTGCTGTCCCGCCAATGCCGAGCATGGATGAATCCATATAGTTGCCAGAGTTTCTGTGATATGGTTGAGACGATTGTAAATGACTTTGATGATGAAGTTGGGGAAACGTATAGCCTGAGGTTGTAGTCGGTATTAGAACATTATCACCAGATCTCGGACTCAGAGGCCTTTTTGGCATGAGAGTGCCTAGATCCGAAGCCTTGTCTTCAGAGGGATTTGTTGTTTGGCCACGACCACAGAGTGGAATTAAGGTTTTCTGTGACACCTCAGATTTGCAGACAGGACACTGCGGCTGCTGCTGATCCGAGTTTTCTGAAGAGGTGTTTGGGAAAGTGATCCATCGGTAAATACAGGGCCAGCAGTAGAGGTGCCCGCAGAATGTAACCACGGGGTCTTTGACGAGGTCCAGACAGATGTTACATTCAAAATCCCCAGAAGGATTAGTTTCAGACTCATCGAATGAAGAGGATAAGGATTTCCACTTCACCAAGGAAGATCCATCTTCACTGAAATCACTTTCTACTGCTGCCCCTTGGAAATATTGTTCTGTCGCCATATAGTCAGCTTCTCAGTCCAAACAATCTGTTATGAAAGAAGATAAGAAGTTCATGTTAAATTGAACTGAATTATTTACCAACGGGACTGCCAAGAATCAGGCCCAAAAGCTGTAAACTTCAATATATTTCCTGTCTAATGCCATAAAAGATCGGGACGAAAACAAAAACCAATGAAAGATCATATCAGGTCATTTTCCAAACTATTGTGCGAGAATATAAGGGTATCGGCTATCAAAGTCTCAAGTGGACCATCTTACAGTAAAAAAATTAACACTTCTGTCCATAGTTTTTCTTTGTCCTGTCCTACGAAATTAAATTCCTTCCCTATACATCCTACTTGTATATATATACAAAGAAAAAAGAACAGAAATGAGATCGGTAGGTGAGAAATTAGTCCATAATTGGATTTGCAACAATAGCATCCATCAATTCCAGCATAATTTTAGCCAGTAATTCCAACCTGCCTCCCATCCAACTATCTACCCTACCAGTTTGAAATTAATAGAGGAATACAAAATGGACCAGCAAAATAATTTCTTGCACATTGTCAAAAGCTAACACCAGGCACCCAATCGAAACCCAAAGATGAATTGGTTGAACAATAAAATACTTCTAGAAGTTGCATATAATCTAATCGCTGGTTCACTGGAAAAAGAAAAGTTGAATGGATAAGAACATATAATATATTTGTTCTAAATTTGAATTTGACAATTGACAAGAAGATGTTTCCTACTTTATTTTAATACATACTCTCCCCTTTTCTTTATTAACCAAACTATTAGTAAAGACCAATATTAATACAGTTGTCGGTTGAATATGAAAAGGATTCAAATCCTGGGACAAGAATTTCGTGGTGATCAGAATTTTGCCAAAAAAAGAGAGCTACCATTTGGATGAACTTAATGTAATAGATTAATCTTGGACTGTCTGTAACTTGTGATGTCCCAATACAATCTATGAATTCCTTAATCCTAAAGGGATGTTTTCTCATCAGAAAAGATTCTTGAAATTGAAGTGAAGTTTCGAATTATGAGCTACGGATTCATAACAAACAAGAACTAAAGAAACCTTAATTAAAACCTAGAAATAATAGGCAAGCTCCACATTCTACAATTCTTTCTTTTCACAGAATCAAGAAATCTTCAAACTTCCCAACCAAAAATCAAGAAATCTGAACAAGAAAATTACCCTATGTTAAACACTTTACACACAAATCAAATCCCATCACGATTAAGACAGCGAAATAAAATAGCAATTCCTTATTTATCAATCCAATTTTTGACAGTATAGGAGCAAAAATTTATGTTTCTCTTCATACTGGAAGTAACCCATATCGCAGAAACACTAATATAAATCCCAAATGGGCTGAATACACACAAAAGGGAAAGAAAAAAAAAACTTAGAAGGTCTATAAACACAGAACACTAGAAATTTCATGAACATACACACACAAAAATCATATATCAGAAAGATGGAGAATAATTCATACCAAGCTACGAAGAGGGTCTTCTTGATACTCAACAATTACACAAAATCTAATGGCTTCGTTCTTAAAATTGCAATGTGAAAAAAGAGAAAAGAAGATGAAGATTTTCACAGAAAGAGCCAAGAAAGAGAGAACAGCGTGGGGATGAAGCTTGAGATTGCGTGGATATGGTCTAAAGATGAAGGGGGTCCGTTTCTGCTTTAGCTCTTATATACACACAAACTGTAAATAACGACAAGGGCTATACATACAATTTACAATGTATGTATAGGTGCGGGAGTGACGTGAATGCAGAGGAGTTACAATCTTTGTTGACACTTCAGGATAAATACATGACGTGGTCTGAACGGCAGGAGATGAAATAATTTTAGCCACAATTTCACAATTTTCTTTTCTCTTCTTTTGACCCAAATAGGTTATGTTTTCTTTGAGGGATATTTTTTAGACAAAATAATATTTATTTTTTCAGTTAAATTTTTCGTAAGTGCAGTCATTCAGTATAACTATATTGCCTTTTTATTAAGACGTTCATTTATCACTGTCTATATTAGAAATTATAATATATTACGTCAGATTGTCACAATTTATTGTTCATTACAAATATTTCATTTGACAGAAGGGTTAAATGACCGTGTGATATTCACGTGAAGTCAAATCAAAAGGATCGTATAGACCAAAAATATATTCTTTAAAAAAAAAAAAAAACATTTCAAACGGTGTGTTTTTAACTTTCGTTAAGAAATTCAAATACGATAAAATTATTTAGTGTGCATGAAACTTATCTTTTGCTTGAATCCATTCTCATTCCCATTTCCAATTCCCCGACATTACATGAATATTATATGACCATTTAAATTTTCAAATAAACGTTTTTAGTTAGTCATGCACATGAATGTCACAATTTTTAAGAGTTGAGGACAAGTGTAATAAATTGATGAATCCCCCCTCCCCCTTGGTGTACTAAATTTTTTTTACAGATGTTGTACAAACAACACACATGATGAGGTCTACACAAATCTATTTTTTTTAATACATGTGGAGCCCTGCCCCTTGTGAGGGGCTTGTAAGGCCCCTGTGAACAGGATTTGTTCTAAATCGATAAGCTGAATAGATGAGTCTAACACTTACGAAAGTATAAGAATCCTTCTGGAATTTACCCTAATTATTATAGGAAAATTAGTAATGGCAATTTATAAAATAAAAAAAGGTTAGGTGGCCAAATTAAAAAAAAAAAAAATAATAATAATAATAATAATGGTCTGAAGTGAGTTCATCGTTTGAGTTTTTGACCTTGATTCTTTTGTTTTCTTTTTTTGTTCAAATATTTTTAATTTGAACAAACGACGACAATTTACTAATAAAAAAATATTCACAACGAATTTTGGAAATCCCGGCACAAATAAGTTCTCCTTGTGAAACGTATTTTTACGACTAGTGTTCTAACTAAAAAATATGTATTGCGTATATTTATATCAGTTCTTTGCAATAAATCCAAATATCTTTATAATTTTAGCGAAAATCTATTCTTTCACTTCAAAATTAGTCTCAATTTATGAAATTTCTTTATTCATTCCAGAGTTCTAATGAAAAATAGGTTGATCTGTATATGCAAAATTATCGCAAGAGATTCGTATATAAATTCATCGTTCTTTATTCTTAAAATCACTATACAATAATTGCAAATTATATTTGAATTTCTAACATTTTGGTTAACCTAAAATTTTGTCAAATTTCTCTGTCACATCTCCAACAATATCTTCAAGAGTCATCATAATTTTAATTATCTTTAAGAATATTAAAGATTTAGATTTTAATAGTTAGTCAAAGTCATTCCATAAATCATATCATCATAATCTTTCATATAATATATTAATAAATCCATATTGTAACTATTATAGTGCCATCATATCGATAACTCTATAATTTATTATATCATAATCGTTGTAGTATCTCGATAAATTTATCATTGTCATCATAATATATTTTCATTTATATTTGGTAAATGATTTTATAGATTATAAGTTGCGAGTCATAAGAGTGTTCAAATAAAAAGTAGATAAAAGTTATGATTCTAAATTTTTTTTTGAATAAAAATAATGATAGATCAGCTTATGATTTAAAAATAAAAAATTAAAAATTAAACCAATCATGCTTAAATCAGCACATCTTTTTAAATATTACCTAACTATTTTCATTATCACATTTTGACAAGTACTACATTAAAGAAAATGTGACTACAAACATCTTTTAATTTTAGTCAAATATTTTCGAGTATCATAATAATCATTGTTTTGAAAATTGTTTTTAGTTAGTTTTATTAAATGAATATATACTTAAGACGAGTTTACGTTTAATCTATTTTAGATTATAATAGGTTCTAATCAAAATCAAATTATAAATAAAAACTGAACAAATTGGTCAATTTTGAAAATTTTGGGACTGTTCTCTTTGTATTTCAATTTTGAGTTTTGAATTCATTTTGAATTTTGTGTTTTGAGTGTCCATTTTGAGATTGTTGAAAATGTGTTGCTTTTGGCATTTTGAAAAATTATTTTCAAAAATTAAAAAAATAGAAAACCCGTTTTCCCTCTCCTCTCTCTCTCTCTCTCTCTCTCTCAATGGTGGTTGGCAATGATTGAAAATACTCAAAACGTATTTTGAAAATTTTGGCTTGATTACAACTGAAAATACTCAAAACGACAAATTTGTCGTTTTAAGTTTTCTTTGTAAATTTTTAACTTACTTCCAAAAAAGCGTTTTCGAAAATAGAAAAGAGAACGTGTTTTCACTATTTTGGAAAATCGAAAATAGAAAACGCCTCCATTTAGCCTCGAATAAGAAAAACTAGGATTTACTAATTCAAACCAAGCTCAATGTTCTTGTCATTATTTCAATAACCCAAAGTTTAAATGAGTTTATAATAATCCAATAAACTTTCTATTGAATCGAATATAAAGGAAGAAAGCCACAAGTAATTGTGAATCGTGAAAATAAGTAATTTGTATGCAACATAAGGAAAAAGCTATATTTCATTAAGTCTTTGGACATTAGAGTTACTAAATATGATAAAATTTTCATTAAACACCAGAAGTTTCTAGATAAAGGAGTTATTTTCAAGTGTCATAATACAAGAAAGAATTTAAAGAAGATGATCCATCTAGAATGTCATGCTAAGTGTATATTTTTCCAATTTGTTAGCTGCCATACCACATCACGTGTACACATTAGCTTATTTGTCTTTCGTTTATGGCGTGTTTAATAGAGCTAATTGGATACAGTACTAAACACACCTTAATATGGTAAAGAGATTAGGGGTCCGTTTCACATAGTTATTGAAAAGTCAAAAGATACTTCTGAAATTAATAATTTGAATATTTTTTTTGGAACTACTTTTATCATTGGGAGAACTTTAAGAGTAAATTAACCTATAATAGTTTTCTAAAGAAACTCGGGTACAAAAAGTAGAAATCTTGTTAAATAAATCTTAGATAATTTTGAATAATATAATCCAGA